GAAAGAGTCGAACAGTGACTCTGGCTCGGACGAAATGTGGGACGTCGACTGCGAATTGCAGCAGGAAGCGAAATGCCCACGACGCTGACACTTGCTGCAGGTTTTGCCACGCGCCGGGCAACTCGGATCCCGACCGAAATGACCAGCCTTGCCACACCTAAAACAGAGACGCTCAGAGGAAGTAGAAGCAGAAACAGACACTCTCTCAGGTTTACGTGCACGATCCGTTTTACCTGACGACTTGAAATGTTGTTTCTGTTGTTTCTGCGACACAGAGTGCTTACGAGAGAGACCGTGGACTTCTGATGGCGTACTCATAGCAGCAGCGGAACCCATAGACGAAGCTTGTTGCTGGGTTGCCTCAAACAAAGCTGCAATTTCTAGACACGTACCCAAAGTTAGTTTTGGATCTGATAACAACTTCTTTTTCAACTCGACATTCACAATGCATGACACCACATGGTCTCGAATCATGTCGTCACAAGCGGTACCAAAATCACACAAGCGGGCCTGGACGCGTAATCTTACAACAAACTGACTCACCGACTCATTCTTAGCAAAGGTCATCTGGCGCAGCACGTGACGCTCGTATACAGGATGTGGCGCGGCCTTGAAATGTTCGTTCAGTTTCCGTAACGTAACCTTGTACTCGTTGTCATCCGCAGGCAGGGCCGACGCCTGTGGATCTTCGAGGTCTTCGAATAAGTCCTGAACCTGTGTTCCGGCAGTATGCAGCAATAAATTTTTCAGCCGTTTGTGATCCGTAATCCCTTGTCCTTCAGCCATGTACGTAAAGCTTCGTAGCCATTTCTTCCAGCGAGAGGACACTTCTGCTGGCGTGCCCCGGTATTCGAAAACTGGAAGCTTGTGGGCTGTGCTCAGGTTACTACAAACGCTCATCTTCGTCGCCAATTGTTATAACGTACGCACGCAAGATTCACTCCATGCAACTCGCGTATACCACAGCAGGAAACACCATCTGGTTTGTTCTAGGATAATTTAGAAGTGAACATGTAAAATGGCAATCATGGAGAGATAAGCAGCAGAGACACGTCAGTGCTGTCGTGGCACGCAGGCCTCGGTCACACTACGGCAAAAATGCTGCGTCAGCGTCAGAATCATGAGCTTTTCCATGGCAACTGACGCAACGCGGCAAGTTTGAGCGTCAGACGCTGCTGCGTCTGACGTGGGGAAATCGGCTGCGTTGCCGCTGATGGGAGTGACGCTTGGCGGAAAAACAGTGTCTTTCAAGTAAAATAATTTACTTAGTTTCAAGACACTTTGCTTGAGTTGAGCAGTTATTCGACATTCGTCTGTTCAAGGTTTTTTTTGTTCCCTCTTTTTGTTCGAGATGAGTCCGTGGACCTACGAGGCCGAGGCTGCTCTGCTCCGAACCTGGCGGAAGAGCGAGGCGTTTTCTGAGAAGAAAATGATGTCGAGAAAGGACCAGTTGTTTGAGTGGGTTATCGGCCAACTGGAGCCTGTTGACTTGTGAGTGTTGTGTTGTCGTCAAGAGCCCCAAAAAGGACAACCAGAATGACGAAGTCAGGAGAAACACAGCTGCGATGCGGACTTTTCTTGCCTGATCAATGACACTACAACTGAAAATGGCTTCAAATTCGGAAAGAAACAACAACGATCGTGCACGCGTGGACCTAGTACCAAGAGTCCATGGACTCTTGCTAGTACCTTTCGTCTTCTTGTAATCAAAAATCAATGAAAAATTCGAAAACTTTGTCCGACAATTTTTTTGTATAATAAGCAAAAGGCCGGTTTCCGTGGGAATCCGTGTCGTCATTGAGTTTTCCTGGTGGTTTTGTGACGTAGACAAATGCGTCAAGCCGCGGCAGTCATGAGCTGCAAAAAAAACAAAACACTGTGTGACCCCACGTCTCCGTCAAGTGCTGCGGCTTGACGCTGCGTCCAGCTTCAAACTGCCGTAGTGTGACCGAGGCCTAATGGCGCTATGACACGACAGTATAGGCCTCGTCAGCTCGTACCAAAGTAAGACACACGTCAGCCATGCAGACGTAATGCAGAAGAAGACTGATTCATAATGAGGTAAGACATTGTCACTCTTCGTCATGCATGCATCAAAGGAGCGTAGAACGACACACGTAGAGCACACGTAGAACGACACACGTAGCAGAACGTAGATCGTAGATCGTACGACTAATATTAATAATAGATCAATCTATAACAGTCTGCAATTATGTTTGTGTACATGAATGTGTGTGTGTGTGCGTGCGCATGCGCTTGCGCATGTGCATATGCAGAGGTATGCCCGGAGACCTGGGTGTTTACACGTGGGCCTGGGTTAATGGTGGTGTTAGTGGATATCATAGCGTAACTTGTAGTTAATAATAATAATAATAATAATGACAGTTCGCATTTCACTCATTGCATGAGGTCAACGCATCTGTTAACAATTTCGAGCCAAGCAGCTCTATCAGAAGCAGATTGCACAGCATCCAGAAGCGACAGATTAATGCATTGTAAGTCTTTCTTGACAACGTCGATCCATCTCAGACGTGGCCGTCCTCGGGGTCGTCGTATGTCTGTTGTGTTGATCGACATTAGGAGGGCTTGGAAAGAGGACGATTCTTCGCCTTCCCTCACTACATGGCCGAACCACAGCAGTCTCCGTTGCCTGCAGACTTGGGATAGTGGGGTCTGCTCGGTTCTGGCATACAGCGCTGTGTTCGAGATTCGTTGTGGGTACGTGATACCAATGATGGTACGTAGTTTCTTCCGGTGCCATACATTGACGACGTCGGTTAATGTTTGCGACTTGTAGTTCCTTGGTCATTTTTCTTTTCTATTTTCTATATGCAGGTCATTTCTTTGTGTGTTGAATTTGTATACGAGAATGACCGTGTTAGCTGCTCCCGGCTAATGATGCCCCCTCACTCCGGAACACAAGGGTTTTATATGATTGGATAATTTATAGAAGTATTCGATAAGAGTGCAGACAGAAGGAGAACAGGACAACGACAACTCAAGACTAGACTAGAACAGAACTGGAGCATGCGCTCTTCTATGTGAGTGCTCATTGCCAAGGGGAACGAGCGGGAAATACGAATGGTGAGTATTCAGGTCGTAGCATACATACACCTATTACAACCGTACTGCCTACGAACTGCCTGTCTTTCCAGAAGGCCAACATTTTTGTGCGATTTGTGTGCATGTGTGTGTGTGTGTGTGTGCGTACGTGTGTTTGTGCATGCATCTTTGTGTGCATCGTGTGTGTGTGTGTGTGTGTGTGTGTGTGTGTGTGCGTGTGTGCGTGTGTGTGTGTGTGTGTGTGTGTACGTGTGTGTGTGTGTGTGCATGCATGTATAATGTCTTCTTTAAAAACTTTCTATCACTTCCAGCCGTTGCTGAAGGAGTAGGCAAGGGCAGAGCTGACGTAATGTTCAAGTTTGATCTACCAACCAACAGTCAATGATTGCATAACTTCCAGAATGGTGTGTGTGTGTGTGTGTGTGTGTGTGTGT